AAATTTTCAATTCTGATCTTCCTCCTTTTCTTGGCGTTTGGTGTTCATGATTGTGGAGGACAGAAGACGGGTTTTTTCTCTCCCTCCTACTGTTTTTCCCCTTCTTTTAGGTAATATATATTGATAGTACCACACTATACCATATGGTATTGTGTGGTAACGAAATGTATGTATATAGTCACGAATTTTATCATGGTGCTAGTAGGTGGTAATCGATATCAATTCTGAGAAAGAAGAGTTAGAAGACAATGAAGGGGGAGAAGAAAGTGGAGAAAGTCGTAAATATTATTATATATATGTATATATTGAGATTACCACACTATACCATATGGTAATGAGTGGTAACGAGTAGGGATGGCAATCAAACCCATGGCCGCAGGTATCCGACCGCCCCCAACCCAGTCAACGCGGGGAATCCCCGCTTTGACCGGGTATGGGGCGGGTATGGGGTGGGTTTGGTTTTACCCTCCCCGCCTCATACCCATACCCATACCCGCCCCACCAAGAGAATTTCTTCATATATAAAAAATATGCGCATCAAATTATAATCTATCAATGATGATGAGGATAACTTGAGAAAATAAATAGTAAAATTTCAATTAAGTGACCATCTTAATCAAAACTTAATCCATTTCTCTCAATTCTCATTTCACTCTTTCACTTACCCCCTTGTCAACAAGATTATGTTAGTTAATTATTACTTAGTAGATTTATCAGAGTTAGAACATAATAATTTGAAAAATATTATACTCTATATTATGTATTAATGGATATTTTAGGATTATATTCTTTGAACCATATTAAAAAAATGACTGTGTTTTGTTGACTTCATGATATAATATGTTTGTTTAGAGTTATAATTAAAACTTTTCTAGTAAGTTTTAGGCATAATAATGTTGGATGTACGAGTATGGGTATTACCCATGGGTACCCGAAACCCACGGGTATGGGGATGGGTTTGCAAAATATTTCCCTGCATGGGTATGGGGCGGGTATGGGTTTGGGTATTTGAAGATGGGGATGGGGATGGTTTAGGCAAACCCGCCCCAAACCCGCCACATTGCCATCCCTAGTAACGAGATGTATTTTTAAGGATATCATGTTTTATACGTTCGTAGAGGGTGGTAATTAGATTTATATTATTTTTATATGGATTTACCTTCTACCATGTGGTGTTTTATGGTAATTATAATTAATTTGTGGTCATTCAATTTACCATGTTCTAATATGGTGGCATTGTCTGGTAGTTATATTTAAAATTTTCTGTAAGGTATTTTACCACGTTATACCATGTGGTATTTGCATGGTAGTTGGATTTGTAATTTTATTTTAGCATGTTACACCATATGGTAGTTGAATTTGTAATTTTCTTCAACATATTTTACCACGGTAGTAGAAAGTGATAATCATATTTGTATTTGTAATTACTATCTTTAGCATTGAATTATTTAAAAAAAATCATCATTCTATTTGAATTGGAATTAGAGTAGAGATAACTGAGATGGTTAGATTCATTTTGTTGTAGAGATATAGGGTAGAGAGCAGATACATTTCCCTCTTCTTTTAGTTGTAGATGGGAGGAGAAGAAATAATGTACATTTTCTTTTAATAATAAAACAAAGAGTGAGAGAGAGAGGAACAGGGGTGGGGTCGTATAGGTGTCAATCGGGCGGGTTCGGGCTGGGTTCAATCGGGTTGCGGGTTCACCAGGTTGCGGGTTTATCGGGTTCGAGTTTATCAGGTTTGGGTTCAAACGGGTTGAGGGTTAGTCGGGTTGCGGGTTCATCTGGTTTGGGTTCAATCGGGTTGCGGCAAATCGGGTTACGGGTTCATCGGGTTTGGGTCGGGAGGGTTGCGGGTTGTTCTAGTCAGCGCATCGAGTAACTTACTCCTTACTCGTTACCAACTTACACATATTATTACAATAATTTAAAATATTTTTCTCAATTTTTAACCAATTTCTTTCTACCTCGTATATATACTTAATTTTAAAAAACTAGTTAAAATGTTGAATCAATTTATATGACTTGCAAACTTGTTATGTAATAAATCATAATTGGTAAAGTACACTAGCTAATAGTAATGGTTATATCAACATTTGCAACCAAAAGACACCATTAATTATTTATTTGGTATTTTAATATTATTTCAGTAGTAATTGGATTATAGTATCTCATTTAGAAAAACCATGCAAATCTGCGTGTGGTATTTGGCAAAAGCAGAGTGGTAAAAGGAGTTATTTCGAAATAACTCATTGCCCTAATAATGTCAGTAAACTGTTGTCAAACGAGTTATTTGTAAAAAATTTCGAATTACCCTAAAAATTGAACCTTTAAAGATTAACTATCAAATTTAGTAAAATTGTTGTGACTTCAATCATAACTTACTCAATAACATATATCCTATACACTTAGCCTTACTCTCAATCGACAATATTAAGTTAATATATGTTGTTGATCGTATACCCTAAACCATCAATATATTATACACTAACAACATACCCTATACCCTAACCATATATCCCTATGAGTTATGATTTTGCTAGTATAGTTAATTGAAAGTGAAATTCATATTTTGATTTTCGAAACATAGATAAAAAAGTGATATTTGCTATACCATATCCATATATCCTATACTCTACACCATATATCCTGTACCCTAACCACGTACTATAAATATAAATTAAAAAAGATTCTCTTGCCGTTAAATATTTTAAGTGACTTCAAGTGGACATATTTTAATAAAAAACATAGAACCGTCAAAACCATCAATACCTTATACTCTAACCATATACACCCTAAACCATATGTACCTTATACCCTATACCCTAACCATATACTTTATACCCTAAACAACAAACCGTCAAAAATTACTTATCAAGTTTAGTATAATTGTTGGCTAATATTCACCCACCCATAAAATTTTCATTCCGAAGTTCTCATACAAACCTCCCTCTCATTTTCCATTCCAAAGTGACTCGCAACTCGATTAACCAAAATTTTCAAACCCACAACTCGACTGAGTTATTACAATCGTAAGACTTAACAGGCCAAATTTAACACTCATTTTGAAATGAAATTTCAACTTGAACACAATTTAAATGTGCGAAAATTTTATTAAGTGTTGTAAAATAACGATCATGTAGTGTTAAAATTGCAATAAATGTAGAAGCATAGAAAACAAGTAGACACATTAAGTGAATTTTTCTAAAATAAATTATGCGGTAAACAACAAATTTGTTTTCTTCTTTCTTTTTCAAAAAAAAAACTAAAATTCTCCTCCTTCTTTCTCCTTCCATAAATTAGAAATACTCAATTTTCTTTCATCTTTCTTTTCCATGAAATTGAAAGAACCAAATTTGAATTTTCCCTCCTCTTTCTCTTCTATTTGAAGAACCAAATTTCCCTCTTCCTTTTTTCTTTTCACAAAAAGTTTAAAACTCCAAATTTCCCTCTTCCTTCTTTCTTTTCACAAAAAGTTTAAAACTCCAAATTTCCCTCCTTATTTCACTTTCATAATCAAAAGAACCAAACTTTCCCACTTCTTCACTTCCCACAAATCAAAACCACCAAAATTTCCCTCATTCTTTTCTAAAAAATTTAAAGAACATAATTTCCCTCTTCTTTCTCTTCCAAAAAAGTTGAATACACCAAAATTTTCCTACTCTTTTAAAAGCATCAATTAATCAAATACATTACTTTATTTTATTTATATTTAATTGATAACTTTATTGAATAGTTAAATTAACTAAAATTTTAATTTATATATTATATTAATATTGTCCATGATCTCAATTACTAATTATTCGTTATTAATATTCACATTGTGTTTATTTTATATTTTATATTTACTGTTTTTATTTTGTTAAAGAACTTAGTGTGCAAGTGACCTTCATGTTTCAATTTTTATAATTTTCTTAAAATACATAATATCAAGTGAGTTTCATATTTTTAAATTTCCTATAAGAAATGAAGAAATAATTTTACCTAAGTTTAGAATGAAAAACTTATTTTTGAAAAACTATGTATTATATAATATAATAATTATTCAAGTGGATTAGGTGAAGTTCGGGTTGAGTCGGTCGGGTTGCGAGTTAGTCGGGTTCGGGTCAATCGTGTTCGGGTTAATCGGTTTGTGGGTTTAATCGGATTCGGGTGAATCAGGTTATGGGTTAGTCAGATTGCAGGTCAGGCAGGTTACGTGTTGTTGACTTTTAGTCAATTCGGGTTGCGGTCGGGTTGATCGCGCGGGTTGAGTTCTGTTTTGACACCTAGTGGTGGGACTTGGGAGAGTGGGAGTGGGATCCGCGTCTAGTAAAAAGTCAGCATCAACGTCAGAGCTCCAGCGCCAGCATTTAAATGGGGTGAGTGCAATTTACCCTACTGTCCCTCTATGTTTAATTTAAATAAAATGTAAAGACTGACACGTGGGAACAAATGATTGGGTTACTGACAAATGATTGGGTTATTGACAGTTACTGATAGGAGGATTACTTACCTGATCCGGACCCATCAAAAGAGTACACTGAACTACAACATAAAATAATGGGTAACAAATCTGTAACTCTACTAATTCGAAGCACCTAGCTTGGATCTTGTAACTCCAAGCGAATGTTTCTCACAAGGAAAAAAGACGAGCTTTAACAATCCTCTTGGTGGCTGGAACAGAGATTACAAATTTTTATTTAGTATTATACAAGCAAAGCACAAATGAAAGAGAAACTATATATAACTACAAATGAACATCAAATTACAGACTCAAACCTTATACAGAGGAAAAAACAAGCGGAACGAAATTCCATACACAATCAGTGTCAAACGAACAACATCATCGATCTCTCTCTCTCTCGTGAGTTGGAAATCCCAACCCTAAATACTTCTTTCATCTCATTTCCATGCTTCTTCCTAAAGCGCAAACACAAAACCAGAAAAGGCAGCCGCCATGCCACCACCAAACTTACATCCTTTCCATCTCCTGCGGCGTTTGGAAAACACCAAACATTACAAAAGGCCTGTACTTCCAAATGGATTGTTAGCCTGATGAGGCTGAGAATGAGGATGATGATCAAGGGGCATAGCCGTAAAGCCAGCGCTGCCAAAGCCTGCGTCGCCAAAAGGATTATGGGGATGAGGTTGGAATGCCTGCTGCTGCATAAAAGGGGACGTTTGGTATGGACCAAAGGGGTTGATGACTGGCTGTTGTTGCTGACCCATTTGTGCGGCTGCTGCTGCCGGAGCTATGCTAGTTGACAGAGCAAACGGGTCATGCACCTCAAAAGGGTTTGGTGCTGGTACTCCATAAACCGGCTTCTGCGCTGCTCTATAAACACCATCATCATATAGGCTGTTGAGGGTCAGTGTGTCTAATCCACCACCCTGGAAACATCCGTTATTCTCGTGGTCAGTAAATGCTGGATAGTGTTCTCTAACAGGATATGAAGGGAGAGAAAAAGACATACCAACTGCCTCTCATTAGCGGATGAGATGTTATTGCTTGGGGCAGTGACCAGGGCAAGTTCCCATCCAGTGGGATCAAATTCCTTTGCTTGACCAGCACCAGAATTGAATGTTGGTGCAGTAGTATCTGTAAATGAGTTGTAGTTTCCAAGTTCATAGGTAACCACCACATCTCAGGTGAAAAAAAGAGGTTAAGGAAAGCAGAGGTACCTGTTTCAGACGAGACAATGGCTAAAGCCAATGCGTTACTTTCCTCTATTGCAGATGCATCTGGGGATGCATTACTTAATCCCTGAAACAGGGGGGAAAGGACGCAGAAAAAGAGGGGCAGAAGGTGTCAGTAGTCAATCAAAACAATCAAGCAACATACACTAGTGGAGCGGAAAAAAGATAGAATACCAGTAGATCTCCAGTAACCATGCCGTTCTGAGGAGGAGGGGCAACAGGAGTAGGAGCTTGAGAAGAAACTTCGACGTGTGAAACATCAACAACATCAGCAGGAAGTTGCTCCGGTTCATCACTCGATTTAGCATCCTCAGAAGGACCATCATCTGGTCGGTATGTCAACTGGAGCTGTTTCAAATTTTAATGAGTAAGACCAGAAAGCAATGATCATCTCTAGAATCAAATGAAGCAAAACCAGAGGAAATGAAACCATCTGGATAATGGTAGAAACAATATCAATATTCAATACTACCACAAAATTGTACTTTGAGGAAATAAAATTTGTGGTTCCAGGTATTCCACGAGAAACATTGCTTGCCATTTGCATTCATGAAACTGGTTGCTAATATTCAAGCTTAGATATATTTACCAATGTTTTGGAGAATAGCATCTGATGGAGCGTATTATACTCACCAATGGTTCACTAGTAACAGACACAACACGGGGTGCCTCCCGTATGTACTCTTCCATGGTTGTAAGAAAAGATTGTGGAGGCTACAGAAAGTAAATATCACCTTTATATTGCTAATATTTGGGTCAGCTAACAAAGTAAAAAGGAACATGAAACCACAATATATGATACCTCTCTTAAGACAGGGAACTGAAAGTTCCTAGCAAGTTCCAATCCTTTGCACACTTCATAGAAATCAGAAAGGCTAGCAGCCTGGAGAAATACCAAAGTGCTTAGACAATGCATTCTTTCACAACCATTAACTACATGTAGCTATATCATGCCAGATCACTTCACTACACTACCTGCTGGCCAGCTCTTTTGTACACATCAAGAGCTTTGATGGCTTCATGCCTTGGCATTTCAAAAAACTGCAAGGAGAAACATTTAAGGGATGGAAAGAACCGTGAACATCATTTACTTAAATAACCAAATATTGAGTTGCATCGGGATAGACTCATCAAGAATATTTACCTTATCCACAAGATTGATAATTCCATCATTGATAGCACAATATATTTTGAAGCTCTCTTTCAACACCTGAAGGTTCAACATTGCAAACAGCATTACCGGGAGAAGTGCCCATGTATTTGAATTTGAATAAATTCATTTTGAGATGCAGGTCATCAATTCAAAATAAGCACTCCTAGATCAAAATTTGACTAATGCATATGGTAAGGCTAGGGCATCAAGAATCAAAATCTTATTAGATAGCACGGAATGCCATTGGAAAATGAAACATCCTGTTACTGAATGAAGACCCGACAAACCAGCCCTAACAATTCCATATTCCCCAAGGTATGGGGCTTCTCATGGGCTCTCCTCGAAAGAAGTATGATAGGATTGGGAAGTAAATAAGCATTGGGCAAGACCAAAAAGCTTGTCCAGATACTATGTAAACTTCCACACAGGATAAACTAAGACTTCTGCTCAGTCCAACTGGAAGACATAAAAACCAGGCAAGGACAGTAGTTTTTTTTTATGTATTTTATTCATTCATTAAACACTACCTCATAAAATGGAATCTTTGTGTTGAACACATCTACCAAAAGATTCATTACCATTAATATCTGGTTATGTGCTTGCAATGAACACAAAATAGAGAAGTCATTCTCACCATACAAAACAATCCAGCTTCAAGCAATTTCAGATACTAGTGTACTCACAATAACGTTGAGAACCTACATTTGATGACAAAACATATAGGTTCCAAAAATATTATCATCTGGCCTGTCACTATACACATATCGTGAAGTCAACAACCTATTCTAGATGACTTTCTAGAGAATTGCTCATCACATTCACAAGCAGTCCAGCTTTTGTATGCAGACAAAGAGAAGAGAACTAATAATTTAAATCCAGCTAACATAAGTTCATTCTAAATCCTTCAGTGTATCGCATCAAGTTCAAGCAAATTAATAATGGCTCATGAAAGTCTGTGGAAAGAGGACATCTGTCACAGAAGTCAATTTCCAAAAAAAGAAAACGCTAGTCCAGTAATACAGTTATTGTCCGTACCAACTATTACAGACATGCAGAGGAAAGAGACAGATACAAACACCCACATAAAGAGAGAAAAGGGAAACAAGAGATAGAGTGAGATCAGGCATACCAGAGCAAGAGCATACTGAATAGCATAATTTCCAACAGCTGCACCTTCTGGCTGTAAATACAAACGACAGTGTTAATATACAAGGCACACCTCTGAAATATGGCCAACTGAGGAATGAGTCACAAGGGTTTCACAAAGAGTACCCGACAACCAACAAGCCGGTACAACAACTGCTGTAGCGCAGGAAGTTGCTCTAGTAGCTCTTCACTATCCAAGTCCCTGGTTCTGCTGTAGCCCTGATTACAAAAACGCATACAGATGACATTGCTTCTTTTTCATAAGAAAGCAAGTGAAAGAATAAGCTTATGCAGGTGTTAACTGAAAGCAGCAGATTGTTACTTGTTAAAGATATCAGTAACTGATGCGGAAACAAGTGCTGAGAGATATCATTTTCTAAAAGGAAGTTACATGGTTTGCTGGAAGTATTAAACTACAGAAGTTCAATATTCTAGAGTAATTCTAAGAGTTGAGCTAGGAATATAGTACCAGAATGACTTGTACTCATTAAAGCATCATTTGTATGTTCTCTCGTCTATCTCACACATATTTTTCTTCCTATTACGAATCTTTACCCTTCTGTATACTTATCCACTCTTTCTACTGCTATGCTAGACAGTTAGGCATCCAACCTAAACTTGATCCACCTTCGATTTTTTTCTATTCTCAAATCCATATCAGTAATAGGACAAACAAAAATGCACAAACGGAGCATGCCGCTTATATAACAAGTGGGGCTAGGTCCACAACAGAGCATGCTGCTTATAACATGTGCTGCTCTTCGCATTCTGACCCTACCTCCAGTTCTTGACAAACAGGAAAGCACATAGTTTGCATTTCATTGTGCACCAAAGAGACGTTTGACTTTCAGCTGTCACTAATTTCACACAGACTTTATTTTCACCAAGATGAAAATTAAATTCCAAAGCCATTAACCGAGAATTACCACACAAAGATTCCCAACATTCACAAGGATATCTCACTTGCATAATCATTTCCTTCAACAAATGCTGCATCAATCCATTCCATTATCATTAAGTGAAATTAAGGGGTGTTGTTTTTACTTCCATGACTGCCTGGTCCAAATTGGAGTCTTTACGATAGATCTATACTTCTTTGTAAATGTTAGATCTACAAGGTACCTTATCCTGGGCCTGAGCAGGTTTCGGGAGACGCTCAGCTTCAATGTCATACTTCAAGACTCTAAAGCATTCAAGACGCTCCTCCAAAAACAATGCATATGTACGTACCCAAGCAGAACAATCCCACGCTGGAAAAAGAGAACAAATAATTACGGAAGAGCTAAACCAAAATCATTTTCCCTTCAACTTGCATATACGTGGTAGGGGACCAGTAACTACCAATAGGACTAGAATCATCCTTGAAGTTTGAAAGCTGGAGAATGCGCCCTCTTTGGGTGTAGTTCAGTAGTTCTTCTCTAAGAGTAGGGTCACCTTCCCTTAGCAATCTATGGATAACAATCAGTGTCTTCAGTGCCACCTATCAACAAAAGAGTACAATTCACCCAACATCTTAGCAATCTTGTCCCAATCGTAAAGACAGTTGTGGAATGCACTTCAAACAAAGTTAAGCTCCCTACCACACATCGCAAGCAACATTCATTCCCCAAAACACTTAGAATACAACCATTGCCAGTCAGACTAAAAAAGGAAGAGAGTGGAACCTCTATTATCATCTACAGACCACTTAACTAGGCCTTGGTCATAGACATGCATTCAGGAGTTTCACTATCACTCAGACTTAACAGAATACTAAGTTACTGACCACTCATACTAGTAGTAGTACAATCAAAAGCAACCACAATTCTGCTCAAACAAAAGTCATATCCAATCCAATTTATCAAGAAAGAGCAAGGCTATGTTCCTAAACCAGGAAACTCGACCAAAATATTAAGTTCACATCCGAAACTAGTAAAGGTAAACCCTAAATTCTTCCTAGAAAAATTGTCGCAACTCGTTTCATCAAGAAACATTGTGCACTCCAAAAGAAAAGAAAAAAAGACGCGTTCGGCACTGCTAAACAGAGAGTTGAAGTGAAACACACAGAAGATGAGAACGCATAGTTCAGCGTACCGTCCAGTTGTGGGTCTTGGCCAACCGTCGGGAAAGAGCGTGGATGCAGTAAGCAACATCAGCTCTGGGACGAATGGCTTGAGTAGCAAACAAGATTTCTGCGGGAAGCAAATTCCAAATTCTCCATTAATCTCTATACAATATAGAGTTCAACATTGGATCTTCCCCACCACAGAACAACCTCGAATTCCAAATGCAAAAATTAGGAACGAATCACTCACTCCTGACATGTCTTTCTTTGGGTGGACACTCGACATGATTCGTCGACTTAACAATTGCAACATCCAGTTCCTAATTCACAAACACATGAAAAAGAAAGAGAAAGAGAGCATGTGGAAGAATCAGCGAAAAGAAAATTGGAGAAAGAGAGAGAGAGAGAGAGAACAGAAGAGAGAATCTAGCGAGCAAATCCTCCATGGTTGGTTACCGCGTAATCGCTATTGACATGAGCGAGGCCGACTTTGGTGGAGTCTTTGATAGCGCCATAGGCCTTCCTCCATGTTTGAAGCGTTCCCATATGTGTTTGATTTTTGCTTTTTATAGAGAGAGAACGATCGGATCGCCTTCTCTTTCTCTCTCGGCCCCCCTTCGATTTCGCAGGAAAATAGTAAGAAAACAAAAGGAAACAAGAGTTTGATCTCTGGCGACTACAGAACTCTTCTTACGTGGTGGTAATGGCTCGTTTTTCTCAACCTCCCTTCTCTCCCGATTCTTTTCTTTCTCTCGCTCCAGAGAAAATTCTGTTTGGTTCTCGGGAAAAATCGGAGAGGCTGTGTGCCTGCGAATATTTCTGAGAGAGAAAATGCGCGTCGAATTAATCGACCCAAGGGCAGGGCAGTGAGCGGTCTCAACCAAACCAACCAAAAAGGTATAAAATAAGGCAAAATTGAGAAAGGACAGGAAGGAAAACGAGGTTTGTTATTATTATTTTCTGGACCGGAGCTTAGTTGCTAAATTCGGTTTTGTTAGCGCAATATTTTAACCGAACCGAAATTTTGACTTTCGATTGGTTAGGCCCAATATTGCATATTTTTAGTGAATTTTATACTCTTTTTTTTTTTGACAAATAATACCAACTTTTATTCCACCGAACGAAAGAAAACAAGCTAAAAGCTATTACAATCTTAGAGGAGATCATAAATTAGATCAAGAATATTAATCTAGTCATCTGGTAGAATAGATTTGGCTTTCGATCGTGCAACCCAATCAGCTCTGACGTTCAACTCCCTCGGAACCTCTTTCACCGAAATCGCAGGGTTAGTCCTAAGGATATTGACCATTGTTCTAATCCAGGCTGCGCATCTCCAGGGCCATCGAGACTGATTATGATTAAGGGCCTTCACCAGCGTTTGACAGTCAGTTTGCACTGTACAAGCCAATCCATATTCTTGTGCTAATTTAATTCCTTCCAACAGAGCCTTTGCTTCCGCTTCAATCGGGGTGGAACAAAGAAGATTTTCAGTTCTCCCATCACACACTTGTCCATGGTGGTTAACGACAACAACACCATGTGCCGCCGACTGGGAGTCGCTAAAGAACGACCCATCACAGTGAATCACAATCGAATGATTACTTGGCGGGGGATTCGTAGAGGGATGGGATCCCCTGAGCTGAGTGGGACCATCAGAACTTAGAGGTGGGGTCCTCGGGCACGCATTCCATTCCGTAAGTTCTCTAAAGGTTTGCAGACAGACATTAGGGGGCCAAGGGACTCGGTTCTTGAAAGTGCTTTCGTTCCTTGCCTTCCAAATGTTCCAACAGAGGAAGATAATATGCATCAGGGAGTTATAAGGGATGATATCTTTGAGGGAGCAGAACCAATCAAAGAAGGAGGTATCCTGAGGAGGGATCGGGAGGGAAGGGAAGATGCTATTCCATGCTTCCCTGGCATGATGGCAAAAGAAAAGGCAGTGGTTTAGGGACTCGGAAGGGTTATTACACACTTGGCAACTCGGGTTAGGAGCACATTTACGTTGGAAGAGTCTTTCTTTTGTTGCCAACCCGTTTCTGCCACATCTCCATATAAAGAATTTAAGCTTAGGAGGGATGTTCAGTCCCCAAATCCATTTCCACTTCTCTTCACTTCCAATCGTGTGGAAATTTGTAGGCTTTATGAACAGCATGGTAGGCCGTCCTGACCGAGAAATCTCCCTCTCGAGTGAGACTCCAAGCCCAAAAATCATCAGATCCCTCCTCCCCAATTGGGACTTTAAGAATCGCCTCCCCTTCCTTTCTCGTCACATGACCTTGAATCAGATTCATATTCCATTCCCTACTACCTGGGTCAATCCATTCCTTAACCCTCAGGTTCTGCTGGGGGCCACTTCCGATGACAAAACTATGAAGACTCGGAATCCATAGATCTTGACCAATCCAGGTATCCTCTCCTGACCCGATGACCCTAATTGCTCCCATGTTGATAACTTTTTTAGCCTCCCACAGACTCGCCCAGATCCAAGAGGATCTACTTCCTTTTTTAGATTGTAGGAATCCTCCTCTCGGGAAGTACAGACCCTTAAGGAGCCTACACCATAGGGCATCAGGGGAAATAAGGATTCTCCAAACTTGTTTCGCCAACAGTGCCATGTTAAAATCCTTGAAGCTTCGGAATCCCAATCCTCCTTCTGATTTTGGAGCACAAAGAATGTCCTTCCTACACCAGTGCATTGTGCTTTTCTGCATTGACCCTGACCAGAAGAAGTTGGTGAGGAGGGAATCCATCTTCTTAGTGAGATTAACCGGGAGGTTAAAGAGGTACATGATGTAGGAAGGAATAGCTTGAATGACAGCTTTGAGCAGAACTTCTTTCCCTCCATGAGAAAGTAGGAGACTTTTCCATGCTTCACCCATCTTCTCCATTCTCTGAATTAGGAATTGGAAAGTTTCCTTCTTAGAATTCCCCCGTTCCGTCGGCACCCCCAAGTACTTGGTGTGACAGTTGGAGGAGGCAAACCCAATGTGAGCAATGATCGCCGCTTTGTCCACATCCGGTACATTCGCACTGAAGAAGACAGAAGATTTGTTGATATTCACTTCTTGTCCCGTGACGGCTCTATAATCTCTAATAAGGTCCAGTATTTTCTCCGCTTCTTGATGCTCAGCCTTTCCGAAGATAACAGTATCATCTGCAAACAGACAGTGGGTGAGAGTCGGGCATCTTTGCACATTTGTCAAGCGTCAATTTGTCGGTTTTGACAGCAAATAATGCCATGATCGGTTTGATTCGGTTGTAACCGTTAAGCATATTTGTTTATATTATTATCGGTTAATTATCAATTAATTGAATAAATAGTTTTATGGTTGCAACTTTGTATAAAGAGATAATTTTGGTTCCAATTTTTCGAAATGATATAATTGGCGCAACTTTGCACATTTTTTACTCGATTGTTGAATTGATCGTCAACAAAAACGATCAACTTAACTAAATGTTTATTTTGTCAATATCATCCATGCGGACAAGATAGTCCTAGGCGGGGTACAACAGAGAAAAGGTACCGCCGCCAACTCAAAGACCAACTAAATACATAAAGTCCAGAAGAAAGACAAGGATAACGAATGACACTACGTGCCACAGTATGAACAACCCAATTCGCTTCTTGGGGAGTGAAATCAAAATGAACCATAGGTAATCATAGCAGAAGTGTATGAACCTCCCAAACAATTGCACCACCCCTAGCGTCATTAGCCTCCCCTTTCACCAACTGCTTCAAGACATGGTGTGAATCCCTAGTAATTTGAATTGACCGATCAATCCATCCCCAGTGACAAAGAAGATAAAACACGTCACGAATCGCCATTAACTCAACCAAATAGGGGTCGGAGATTGCTAGAAGGATACGCCAAAAAACGAACAACGACACTGAATTATCGAACCCTCGATACCAACAGCACCATGAGAAGCACTTTGAGTCGACCCATTCACAGTATTCTTTATCTTGGAATTGGGAGATCCTAGTATTTTTTATCTTGGAATTGCCTCTCCATCTAGTTCCCCCAAGCTCGACCCAATTGATGCAGCTTGAGGTAGCCGTCTTGGTAGGGCTTGTTGCAGCAGTTGTTCATCATGGAGGAGGAGGTTGTCGGTGTCGTTAGAATTGAAGAATAGTGTTGGCACCACGATGTACCACCGTCTTCTTCGTCTCTGCCGCGCGAGTTGATGCTGCAACAGGATTCTTTAGCGATCGTTGCTCTAGCTGCTTGACCCATCTCACCGACTGATTGAGTCGTTGGCGCATCAGGGTCACTTCTTCGTTTTGTTGATGGTTGTCGGTCAAGATTTTCGCCAGTATGGACCTGATCTCCGAACCCACGATGGTCGTGATCTCAACAATCATGGCAGTCTTGAGCTCTTCCACCACAACGGTCTTGATCACAGAAACTAGTGTCACCTTTTCGATTCCCTTGACCACCTTGGAAGTCATCCTGTGGGGTTGCGTTGCGAATGGAATTGTTGAAGCTTGCGGCTGCGGGTTGCACTGCGCGTTCGCAGTGAGGTTTGCTGCGGACGCTTTGGTGGTCATTGTGGAGGGAAGGCGCAATTGAGAGGAATCAATTCTTTGTTGTTGTGCGACAAAAGGGACTCAATTCCTTTATTTTTGTGGACAACAACTTGGTAGTGGACTGAGATGTAGCGGAAGGATGAGCAAAAGGCTATGATATCAAATAGGGATGACAATCAAACCCATGGCCGCGAGTATTCTACCGCCCCCAACCCAGTCAATGCGGGGAATCCTCGCTTTGACCGGATATGGGACAGGTATGGGTAAAACCCACAAAAAGTTTAATGGATATGGAACGGGTTTGGTTTTAGCCTCCCGATATCAGCCTCATTCCAAGACCTTGGAGGCATTGTGTGCCGGCAGCAGAATGGGGGCCTTCTTGCCTCGTAACATTATTCATTGCCGTTATTATATGAGCTACAGGAAAGTGCATTGTTTGTGTCGTTTGTATTTCCATCGAGAACAATCGATTGTTTTCCTCTTCAACATTTAAAACCAAGCAAGGGAAACACCATTTATTGGATTCACTGTACACGCGCTTGATTATGTAGAGAACTTTGAAAGGGTTGCAAACCAGAAGCATGATGTTGAACGAAGCTTTAAGATACGGTGATCAACATGAAAAGAGTGGCTCTGGATCCACTTTTCTTCGCATCCTGAGACAGAAAAGATTCGAATATTAAATAAAACAAGACCAATGTAGTGAATGAGTATATCATATGAGGTTGAACCGAAAGAGGATCTGATATCCCTAAGTAATAATATGTTTCTTCGCCCTCAATTGTTACTGGACAAAATGCATCTCACATGTAAACATGATTCTTCTATGTTCTAAGTAACAAAATGATATTGCAGAGAAGGAGAAGATGGTACGCACTACTTGGACTTACCAATTGTTAAGTGACCATTTGCAGCCAACAGTGTCCACAGCATGGACACTGTATGCATGCCTTGACTTTGGAGACTGATTCTCGAAACTGAAAGCAATGAAATGCGCCACATATGGATCAGAAATTTTTACCACCTCGGACATAATTATTAATCAGGTCAGAGATCAATGTTTTACCTTTGATGTATGAGATCACCATGAATTAAGACCAAAGACCCAGCTTTCACTTCAATAGGCACAAAATCCGACTGCTCATAAGAAGGCGATGGCTGATCGAAGTACACCCCTTGCTCCCCTCTAAGGAATCTTCTGACCAGCCCATCTGCAAAACAACGCTTAATTAATTATGAGCATCATTCGGCAGCTTGAAATGCCTTTTCTGTAAATGAGAGAGAGCACAAAAGGATGATACTTCTATGAGATCTAGGAATGGCCCACAGGCAACCATTGACAGCTGTTGCATCTTCTAGTGCCACCCACAAGCCAGTGCAAGTGGTTGGTTCGGTGTGTAGGAAAGAGTTGTCCTGGTGAGGCACTACTTCACCCCCGATACCTGGTTGCTGGGAAATAGAGAAGTACATATTACAGTTTACCAAACACATCAAAGCATGTCCTGGAGACATAATGGACTCTAATATGCTCTTTTAAAAATCCAAAGGGAAAACGAGCTCAGGAACTCAGGCTCAGGAACTCAGGTGTAGCCTAAATTAAATTCCTTTTATTTATTTGATCAATCAGCTTGAAACCTCCATTGACATTTGACCAAATCACACCGGATAGAGATTAGAATCCAAAACAAACAAAGAGCAGCCATCCAGGGATATAAGATTCATGGTTCCCCTATGATTCAGTGGTTGAGGCCTAGGCTTTGTACAGACCGAGAGTGAAGACTTTTCAGATTAGCTGTGTACCTTAAAAATATACATCGATTGAACAATGGCTGGGCTCTTGTAGCCCAAGGACAGTAGCAAACTTGAAATTCTCGGAGAGCAAGAGAACTTTTTGAATACAGGATCAAGCTCATGCAAGGCTGTACAGAAGGAAAGTTCAATATCTTGGTCACAAGGAGAAGACAAAGAGAATGGAAAGCAACAGTAGTACTGCTCATAGTCACACAATTGCCAACAGCTTACCATGGCCAACTTTATTTATGGACAATTCCTTCGCCTGCTTTAAGTTCCCTTCGTCGTCAAATGCTTTCTCTGAAGCATGAACAATAGGCCCCGTGAACCAACAGAACTATCATTCTTCCAAATTGCTAAGAGCAGTAGCTAGACACTAGTTTTTTTATGAAATAGAAACTTCACTTCAGTGAAATCAGAGCAGATTAAGATCTGAGATGTAAGGATTCAGTTAGTGCAAGGTGTGACCTTATAGTTGCTAGACCAAGGATAACCGGTGATGGTAGATAATAACTAACATAAATTTGTGAAAGCCAATACGTAGTGATCTTAAACGAGACCTCACGCAATATTTAGCTTCTGGGAGGTTCAGCATTAACAGAGAAATAGATTTACTTCCACCCTTTGTATGACCTCTCTTAAGTAAAGGTTACGCTCCCCTTCTAAATACCTTTATCGAACAACCCATTTGAAATTGATTCCTACAGTGTGCACCCAACCACCAACATCCCAGCATTACGTTCTTAGGTAAAGCCATAGGCAACCACTTACCAGTCAAGGATTATTACCAGATCACGAGCTTATTCTAAATACAGAAATCATAAACTTGCCATAAGCCAGGCAAAGATCATATAAATAAAACCAAAGCGAACACAAAAGAACAGTGATTCAGTGAATTGAACTAGAGCTAGAGAGTGATCAAATGAAGTGTAGAGAACAAACTCTGATTAGTTTGAAAATCAATATTTCTTGAAAGGGAGCCTACTTTACTGTTGAAGCGCCATAAATTAAAAGACAAGGGAAAATTTCAATCCAACTTGACGTATGAAGTATGAACTAATAAATACCTTCGAAGAAGAAAGAAATCTTCTCAGCGCTCTCGTAGAAATAATCATCCGTTACCTTTTGCTAAATAAACAGAGAGCCAAAACCTCAAATACTGCCATAGTCAGAAACAATTCGCCAAATTCCTCAAGAACACAGCAGCGAAGGAGCGCGAGACTAAAAGAGAAGAAGAAATAACCTGATTTTTGGTAGAGAAAACAGATGCAGAGGAGCAATCGAACTCCCCGAGCAACTGCTCCATTCTCTTCCTCAGTTCATCAATTTCTTCCGAGCTCGCGAAAGATTCAACCACGAGGTACCCTGCGACGAAGTCAACGGAATCAAGGTCAGTTCAGGATCGAGGGGAGGGAGGAATGAGATTAGGTTTTGCTTTTCCTTTCTTTTTGGTCCATTTTTTCAGCACCTTCAGAATTGAAGAAGCTGAGTTCGTCGGCGGTGAGACGCCCGGCGATTGCCATCGCGGTGGTCGATGACTAGCAGTCGAATTGGAAAAGTCGAACACAGAGGCGGGCGGAGCGGGGCAAGGCAAGCAAGAGCAAGTATATCGGGTGCCGAACAACAATAAATAGTTAACTAGCTTCTATTCCGCCCCCGAACATTAGGGTATATTCGATGGATTGGGGGAGTGGTTTTTTTTTAAATACACTTTAATATCCGAACTTTTTATTTTAAACAATATAATAGTCAAATCTTAATCTTTTCGAAAACAATCTAATATCCAAATCGTCAACTTTTCGTTCGTTTGTCCGTAAGTTGACACTTCAAAAAGTTTTTTTTAGAGGAAATTGTCACAATACAACTTTATTTTCTTGTTTTGGAATTGCAGATGACTGAATATTTAGATATTCTATATCATCATGGTGGAGTCATGGACTTCTCGGGTTTGGAACCACGATATGTTGGTGGTTTTTCAGAGAAGATATCGATGGATATTGATGAATGTCGTACTTCAAACTTGATGAAGTGTCAACTAACGGTCAAACGGACGAAAAGTTGACGATTTGGATATTAGATTGTTTTCGAAAAGGTCTGACTATTATATTGTTTAAAATGAAAGGTTTGGATATTAAATTGTATTTACCTTTTTTTTCTTGGATAAAAAGATGGATGTAACTTGCAAGAGCATCCTAAAACATATTAATAGAACGATCGTGGAGATTCCCATAATGTAACACATGAGTCAATGTTTAAGGTTCAATTTGCACTTCGCACACATCGAATAAATGTGTGTCAATATCATGACTAGAGGTGTCAAAGTAAACCCTTTGAGCCCAATCAGATTGGACTTTTTGATAATTTCATATTTTCATGATTATTTAAATTCTTAATTCTTTATCTTTACACCTGAGTTATTGGGTTGGTTGGCTCTGATACCAAAAATTTGACGTAACTTCATTTTCCAACTAGTCTAACTTTTTTTGTTTGTTTGTTATGGAAGGAGATTGATTTGAACTATATATTTTGTATCTGATGCACCCCGGATGGTTTCACACGAAGTCTCTAGAGCTCGAAGAACATATAACGATTGTGGTCCGAAAATGAAGGCTCTAGGGGCTCTATGAGGGAAAGGGAAGAGTCTAATTGCCCAAGAGATGATCGACGTAGGGGCAAGAGGTGTTCAAGGGTCGCGAAGTGATGACAAATCGAGTTGGGGCTGTGCCAGGCCAAATCCACGACCTTGGAGGGGAAATCCACGACCGCGGAATGTTTTCACGGGTTGAAGATCAAAATCCACAGTCTAGAAGGCAAATCCACGACCGTGGATTTGGGTGACAGGGCGTGGATTTTCAGTTGATTGACGCTAGGCTACTGGTGAATTGTTATTTGCATTTTGGACGAGTTAAGTAGTGTTTAAGTTCATTTTGGTTCTTTTTAGGGTTATTTTGTGATGCATATATAAGGAGAAGAGATTTAATGTCTGGGGATCAATCAATCAACATTCAACCAAGTTTTATTTATCAGAGAAATAGGCAGATTTCCGAGTTCTAGTTTGAATTGTTGTGCAAACTCTCCTTTGATGATTCCAGAGGATTGTACGAGGCTCTTATCAACTAGACGATCACATATAGTCGTGACGAGAGACGACTATTACCGATTGGCCTTTCCCATAGGTTCGGGATTGTTTGGCAGTTTCCGTGTTATCTTTACTTTTCCGCGTTCTTAAAGAGAAAACCTAGAAACCCCAAAATTGGAGTGCTGCGTATGCTGATTGTTGAGCGAGTTTGAATCCCTTGAACCCGAATCATATCTGGTGGTATCATAGCCCAGTTCATACTCACGGCCATGGGCGAGAAGAGAAGAAGTTGAAGATCTTGAGGGTATTTTGAAGTTTCCTGGAGGTTGGTTGTGTCGTAGACATGGAAGATGCAATCAGAGACTTGACGTCCCAGATGGAAACAATGATGCAAGAACAAGCTGCTCATGAGGCGAGGATGGATGCACGGCTGGTGGCCTTCGAGACAAGATTATAGGCACCGTCAATACAATAGCTCGATTTTCGTATGGGCTTAATCGAGAGATCAGAAATATTGTGGAGATCCAACCATTCGTTAAGCTTGATGAATTGGTGACTATGACGAGCAAGGTGGAGAGGCAACAGAAGGGGAGGAAGATCTTGACTTCCACCAGTTTCACGAGACCTGCTCAAGTTACTGCAGCAGAATCTAGACCCATGGAGGAATCACCAAAACCTGCAGTAAAGGTTGACACCTCAAAGCAAGGTAATTTATCTGGTGGTATTCAATGTTTAACTGTCATGGGCGAGGACACATGGCGAGCTAATGTCCAAACAAGAGGACTTTGATTCTGTTGGAAAATGGAGAGTATGTGTCTGAAGCAGAGGAAGAAGCACATGAAAAGAAGGTTGTTCAAGTGATGATCGACGTAGGGGTTGGAGCTGTTCAAGGGTCGCGAAGTGATAACAAGTCGCGTTGGGGTTGTTCCAGGCCAAATCCACAACCTTGGAGGGGAAATCCACGACCGTGGAAATGAGCTTTAGACCGTGGAATGTTTTCAGGGGTTGAAGACCAAAATCCACGGTCTAGAAGGAAAATCCACGACCGTGGAATGTTTCCATGGGATGAAGACCAAAATCCACGGTCTAGAAGGAAAATTCACGACCGTGGATTTGGGTGACAGGGGGTGGATTTTCAGCGGATTGACGCTAGGTTGCTGCTGAATTATTATTGGCGTTTTGGACGAGTTAATTAGTGTTTAAGAGTTGTTTTTGGTTCGTTTTAGGGTTATTTTGTGACTCCTATATAAGGAGAAGAGCTTTATTCTATGAGGGGGGAGGGGTTCAATCAATCAACATTCAACCAAGTTTCATTTATTAGAGAAATCGACAGATTTTCTAGTTCTAGTTGGAACTGTTGTGCAAACTCTCCGTCAAAGATTTCGGAGGTTTGTACGAGGCTCTTATCAACCAGACGATCATATATGGTCGTGGCGAGCGAAAACTATTACCGATTGGCCTTTCCCACATGTTCGAGATTGTTTGACGGTTCCCGCGTTATCATTACTTTTTCCGCGTTCTTGAAGAGAAAACCTAGAAAACTCCAAAATTGGAGTGCTGCGTATTCTGATTGTTGAGCGAGTTCGAACCCCTTGAACTTGACTCATATCACTTTCTATTAAACAAGACAAATTTTTATTTGTCAGTGAGATATTTTATTTTTATTAAGTTCTTCCCATTTTTTAGACTTGGCGTTATTATTATGGTACTATTAAAACTGAGTTTTAATTATTCATTAATTTTTATTTTATTTAGACTAGTTATTATATCAGTAATTAATTCGATTTTAGAAACAGTTTCTTCTAATGTATGTGTAGCTCCAATACTCATTTGATCTTCTACAATTTCTGAGACAAAGTATGATAGTTCTAGTGTAACCATAGTGATATCATTTATTGAAGTAAGATCTATAGCATCTATTTCTTCTATTAGCTTGTTTATATGATAAGTACTAGACATTTTTCACAACGATGTATTTATATCTTCTCTTTTAATTCTTGTAAGTTCTTTTTCTCACTATTGTGTTATTTTGATGAAGTATTGTGATAATTTTTTTTATTGCTAGCTCCTCTTCTTTTAATTTATTTTTTATTCTTTTAGAGGGATTTCGTACATCAAGGCTAATTCTTGGATTATTATAATTTGATTTAATTATTTTTAGAGAGGATTCTAAATGTATTAGAGGTTTGAATAAATTTTCTATTGTAATAGCTTCCTTGTCTTTTAATGTTAAACTATGATGAATATTGATTAAGGCGTAGTTTATCTGGTATGTTACTCAAAATGGTTTGCTATTTTCCTTCATAAAATTTTCTCTTTTTAATTCATATTTTATAATAATAAAATAATTAAGATTTCTGTCAGTCAGACTTAAACATTTTTGTAAATTAATATCAAATTTGATTATTCTCTGTTTACTACTAAAAAATATCACTCAATACCACATTGATTATTTTCAAGGAGTGGTAGTGATTTGTAAGGCCAACTTAACCATATTAATTAAATTGGTGTAGGTTGGGCCTAAATAATGGTATTTTGGGCTTCATACCATGTCAAGCTTGACACCCTTCAACACCAACCACCCAAGTGGGCACCCCATCATACTTAGCCAAATTTTCGATCAACCAGTCGCCTACCTACCTTGCGGATAATTACCCCTAGACATAAAGCCAAAATTTGGCTAAGTGTTGAGACCCACAACACAAGGGGGGTCATGCATGACATCGCGCAAGGGGGGTCATGCATGACACCATCCAAGGGGGTCACGCACAAGGGGGGTCAAGCATGATACCATCCAAGGCGAGTGGAGTATGACGAGACACGAGCTAGCTGTGGTAGCAAAGAGGGCCAAAATTTGGCTAAGTGTTGAGACCCGCAATACAAGAGGGGTCATGCATGACACCATCCAAGGGGGTCAAGCACAAAGGGGGTCATGCATGACACCTACCTCGCGGGTGAGTACTCCTAGACCATGATGGGGAAGAAAGCCAAAATTTGGCTAAGTGTTGAGACCCACAGCACAAGGGGGGTCGAGCATGACACCGTGCAAGGGGGGTCAAGCATGATACCATCGAAGGGGTATAGCCGCCTACCAGGTATCAAAGCGTGTGGCAAGGGGAGAAGGGCAATGCAAGTCACTAGACCATGATGGGGAAGAAAGCCAAAATTTGGCTAAGTGTTGAGACCCACCACGCAAGGGGGGTTAAGCATGACACCGTGCAAGGGGGGTCATGCATGACGTCGTCCAAGGGGGTCCTTGCACTAGGGTGTCAAGCATGACGCCGAGGTGAAAATTTGTTAAGTATGGAATCACATGACCATAGCAAGAGGGTACCAAGCCGGCAAGGCAGGCTTGGTACCAAGACATGTAAAGCATGAATTTGGCTAAGTATGAAGCCAACGAGGTCTGCAAGACAGGCTTGGAAGCCAAGCAAGGCGACAAGG